CAGATAAAGTCCATGCTTACTCATTTATGTTTTTTGGGTGACATCACTTCACACCTGAATAAACTGAATTTAAAGCTGCAGGACTATTGAGTTAAATTCATTTTTTTACTTAATTTTGCACATTTCTAAAAGCTTTCCATTATATAATTTATTTTTTAATCCAGCCCTTATTTAATTTGAAGCGAGAGAACATTTATTTATAATTCATCCAGTTCAACATTTTACATCCGACAGTAAATATTGTTGAGGTATTATTTAATTAAACTTTGATTTGATAATCAGTTGTTATTGCAACTGTTTCATATATAAGACACTAAATCGTTGAACATTGTTGTGATGTTCTGGATGTTTGCGTGATGAAATTGTCTCTAAACGGACCTCGTTGAACTTTACCCAGTTACAGCACGGTGAAAACGTTATGTGGTTATTGACACTACGTTGTCTGCTCACTGTGTTTGAGAAAGGACACTTTCAGTTCCTTAAAGTTATTAAAATAATAATTTGAACGTCAGCGTTAAGAATGAAGCTTAGAAATATTTGGTACAGCCTACTTTTGATCTCTTTAAACCCAGCTGCCCGTCAGTGTATTCGACGTACCAAACAAGAGACCATCGTTTCTGTCTTTGTTTGATGTTCGTCATTAAAAAATGTCAAAGTCATGACTCGGGACATTTGTTTATGACACCGTGCATCAAATGAAGACTGAACTTACAACAACAAACAATGTGTCATGAATAAGTCATATACAAAAAATGTGAGGTGTAGTATTAGCAGTAGTAGTATCAGTGGTGCAGTTAGTATCTCGTAGTAGAAGCAGTATCCGTGGTGTGGTACTAGTATCAGTTCAGGGACTACTAGGATAAGTTGTAAACATGAATGAAGACAGACGCTGTTGTTGGATCAGGTAGCATCAGTTTATTATCATTTGTTGTAAATGTACGAGTGATAAAATATGCTGCTTAATGTTCCACAACGTCGCTGCCTTGTGAACGCAGCCCGGTAGGTTCAGGCTCCCCGACACACGATGCAAAGCACTTTGTTTCATTTAAAACGTTTCACAACATTATTTTGGGCTATTGAATGCAGCCTGGTACATAAAAGGCTGGTGGATTCTTATCTTAAGATTCATACGATGATATATATATATATATATATATATATATTGTGTTGTTAAACAGATCTGCCTTGTACTTGTTGGGTCGATCTCACGGCTGTACTTTGAACGCAGCCCCTGAATGCGTCGCAGGAAGTCACAATCACGTCACGTGAGAAGTCTTAGTCGTCCAGGAAGAAGTAGTTTCCGCTCTTCTTCTGCTCCGTGTCCTGGGGACAGAGAGGGCAGTCTCTTCAAATACAACTTTATTCATAAATGGAAACATTGACAATATGTTTGTGTGCTGTGGACAACCTTCATGCACATTATACAATATCTACACTTGGCCACATTTAACTGCTGACTTTTTATTACTGTTGTAATACCGACGAGTCACCAGCAGGAGTCAGTAGAGTCAACATTGAAAATAGTTAAATATTAATTGATTTATTTGTAATTTTCATTTATGAGCTCAAACAATAAACCTCCGAAGTCTTTACATCTTAACTCCGTCATATTGGTGTGTATTTGTACCTTGATGGAGTGGCACTTGTTGATGCGTGGTCTGAAGTTGTTCGGGTCTCTTCTGAATGTGATTTCCAACAGCGCCAGGAATCTGTTCATCCCCGCTAACAGACCCTGAGGACTGATGCAGAGACAGAGACGGAGAGAATAAGATTAATTAATCATAATTATGTATTTATTAGAACATCAGAGGGCTGCTGTTCAGTCTTACGTGTTAGCTGCGGTCGTCTTGGAGGGAATACCGTCGAACACGATGACTCTGTCGGCCAGGTAGGTCGCCATGATGAAGTCGTGCTCCACCACGAACGCCGTCTTCTTGGCGTGGAGGATGTACCTGCACACAGACACACACACACCAGAGTCAGACAGACAGAGAGAGAGAGAGAGAGAGAGAGAGAGAGGCAGAGTGAGGGGGAAAGGAATGAGGAGAGATGAAAGAGGATGTATAGCGATGAAGGGAACAAATAAAAACTACAAAGTGTTTGAGACCTCTTGATGACTCTGGCGGCCATCAATCTCTGCTCAGAGTCCAGGTAGGCCGAGGGCTCGTCGATCAGATAAACATCAGCTGGTTTCCCCAAACACAGAGTGAGAGCGACTCTCTGCAGCTCGCCCCCAGACAGGTTCTGGACCTGAGGGGGAGGAGGATGGGGAGGAGTTAGTCAGTCCTCTGTGTCTCCACCAGACAGGGAGGGTCGGCTGGGCTAAGAGACGCTCGGTCACGTCTATCGTCTGGAGACAGCAATGTGCTTTCCTACGCTGTGACAGCAGAGTGTGTGTGTGTGTGTGTGTGTGTGTGTGTGTGAGTCTCACATCCTGGTCGATGATGCTCTCTATCTGCATGGGCTTCATGACGTCGGTGATGAACTGAGGGTGAGTGTAGGCGTCTCTGATCTTCTCGTGCAGCAGAGCTCTGACGCTGCCCTGAACACAAAACACATTTTACTCATCGGTCACTTTAAACAAACGTCCTGCTGACGGAGACGAGTGAATGTTTCAGAGAAAATTAAATAATGAATGAAGATAAAAACAAGATATTTAACCCTTTATGTATGAAACAAAGTTTCTTATATTTAGATCAGACTGAAGGAAAACTTCTCTAACTTCAGGAGGAACTCACATTATTATTAATTATCCTTTGAGTACAGAGAGAATAAATAAAGCTCTGCTTGTTGTTTTAATACTGAATAATAACTCATATTAGTGATGAGGAGGAGAGTGAACAGACCCTGAACTTTGGGCTGATGGTCTGAGGCTTGTAGCTGACACTCAGGAGGGGAACCTCACCTGGAAGAGAGAGAGAGAGGGACAACAGGTCAGAGAGAGGGAGAGAGAGAGAGAGAGAGACAACAGGTCAGAGAGAGGGAGAGAGAGAGAGAGAGAGACAACAGGTCAGAGAGAGGGAGAGAGAG